TACGTTAGAGAGGATATCTGTTCTCGTCGCCTCGGGACGCTTGAAGGAAGGGACCTATCTAACCTCTGGCTGCGCGTAGACTGCGATGACCATCCGCGATTCTACGCCTGCCTGTATAGGTCGCATAGCGGAAATACCGAAACTGACCGACTCATTGAGCACATCCAAATGGCTACAGATTCCCTGCTCGAAAGGGTTCCTACCGCAGAAATCGTGATACTTGGCGATTTTAACGCCCACCATGCCGATTGGCTCGGCTCTGAAACCACCGATCACGCGGGAAGATCCTTTCACGACTTTGCTTTAGCCTACGACCTGACACAAATGGTCCCTGCGATTATGCGAATACCAGATGTGGATGGTCATAAACCCTCTTTGTTGGACCTTCTGCTGACTTCACATCCGGAGAACTATCAAGTCTCTGTTGACCCGCCATTGGGTTCATCGGATCATTGTGTGGTCCGGAGTACTGTGCCATCTACGCGCCCTTCACGGCCCCGCTTTATGGGTTGTCGCCGTATTTGGCACTATAAGTCAGCAGATTGGGACGGGATGCGGTCTTTCTTTGCGTCCTACCCTTGGGGGCCTATGTGCTTTTCGCCGGAAGCTCCAGATTCCGTCGCCGCCTCTGTCGCCGAAGTGGTTCTGCAGGGCATGGAACTCTTTATTCCATTTTCTGCGGTGCCGATCGGTGGCAAGTCTCAGCCCTGGTTTAAACGTTCTTGCAAGGCGGCCGCGCATCGAAAGCGAGAATGCTTTAAGGCATGGGCGGAAGCGGCGAAATCTCGTGATGCCAATACCAGCGAACTTAAAACAGCATATAACTCAGCCTCCAGGTTCTTCAAACGGGAAATTACTAAGGCAAAGTCAGAGCACATTGCCACATTTGGCGAGAGATTGGCCCAGCTCCCTTCAGGGACTCGAGCCTTCTGGTTTCTCGCCAAAGCTGTCCAAGGGAATTTTTGTCAGCCCACCATTCCGCCACTGCACAAGGAGGATGACTCTCTGGCCCACACTGCGAAGGAGAAGGCCAACCTTTTGGGCTGTCTCTTCGCGTCCAAGTCGACTTTGGATGACCAAGGAAGATCACCACCGACCATTTCGCGGTGTGATTCTTCGATGCCGGAAATCACATTCCGGCAACGTGCTGTCCGCAAAGCACTATCTTCCTTGGACATTCATAAGTCGAGCGGGTCGGATGGTATCCCCCCAATTGTGCTGCGTACTTGTGCTCCTGAGTTGGCTCCGGTCTTAACGCGCCTTTTCCGGTACCTGTACTCGCTCGGCACTGTCCCGAAGTGCTGGAAGACCGCTTCGATACATCCGATCCCTAAAAAAGGCGATCGCTCTGATCCGTCCAACTATCGCCCAATAGCTATAACCTCCTTGTTCTCCAAAATAATGGAAACTATTATTAATTGCCAGCTTTTGTGGTATCTAGAGGGCCACCAGTTGATTAGCGATTCTCAGTACGGCTTTCGTCGTGGTCGCTCAGCTGGTGACCTCCTTGTATACCTTACCCATAGGTGGGCAGAGGCAATTGAGTCCAAGGGGGAGGCGCTGGCGGTAAGTTTGGACATAGCGAAAGCCTTCGATCGGGTGTGGCACAGAGCACTGCTCTCGAAGCTTCCAGCCTATGGGCTTCCCGAGAAATTATGCGATTGGATCTCCAGCTTTCTGGCCGATCGGAGCATCAAGGTCGTCATCGACGGAGCATGTTCCGACCTGAAACCTGTGAACGCTGGGGTCCCATAAGGCTGTGTTCTATCCCCGACCCTATTTCTTTTGCATATCAATGATATGTTGCAACTTAGCAACATTCATTGCTATGCGGATGACAGCACTGGGGATACTTTTTACACTGGCTGAATCGTCGACGACCAATCCCTCTCCGAGCGGCTTGATCCTTTGGCGTTGCGTAGAGATGTGGGGTCACTCTGCATCTTCTACCGCATTTACCATGCAGAGTATTCAGAGGAGTTGTTCGGATTAATACCTGCAGCTGAGTTTCATCATCGGACGTCGAGACAGAATACGAAATTCCACCCGTATCACCTCGACGTCCGCCGTTCCACAACTGAGCGTTTTTCAAGGCAGTTTTTGCCGCGCACCACCACTATGTGGAATCAGCTGCCCACTGAAGTATTTCCGAACCAATTCGACTTAGGGTCCTTCAAGAAAAGAGCGTACCAATTCTTAAAAGGCCGGCAACGCACTCGCGAGCCCTCTGGCATTGAGAGTGTCCATGGGCGGCGGTATCACTTAACATCAGGTGAGCCTCCTGCCCGTTTGCCCCCCGTTCTATAAAAAAAAAAAAATGTCAAGCCGTGCGAAGTCGGGAAAGGCCGCCAGTAATAATATTTGCAGTGACAAAACAAATATTACAGTTATTTTCTGCCGCGATTTCATATTAAATTTTTAAAAACTTAATCATTACATAACGCATAGTGTTAGTGTACTTAACAATATTAAAACCAATTTTTGTGTCATCACAACTTGACGATGATTGATTTTACGTTGAAAATGCAAATTTCCGTTATAATTCGGTTACGCGACCGCAAAACTTACATTAAAGTCAAAGTAACATTAAACAATTTGTAATTTGCAATCTAATAATTTTATTTATCTTGAAATAAATATGAATTTCTTGCAATAATTACTGCTAGTTTATTTTTTTATATATAACAGTTATGATAGATATAATAATAATAATAAAATTATGCATAGCCAGCAGTATGGTTTTACAAGAGGTCGCTCCACAGCAGATGCTGGCATTCAATTAATTTCCGAGATTTTAAATGCTTGGGAAAATTCTCATGATGCCATTGGAGTTTTTTGCGACTTATCAAAGGCTTTTGACTGTGTCCATCACGAAATCCTAATCAAGAAACTTCAACACTATGGCATTGGCGAAAAAGCGCTAAATCTTGTGGAATCATACCTGAGCGATAGAATTCAAAAGGTATATGTAAATGGAGCTATATCACAGGGATCCTCTGTTACTATGGGAGTACCGCAAGGCTCCATACTTGGTCCCTTCTTATTCCTCGTCTATATAAATGACCTGCCATTTCTTGTAAAGGAGCTTCACGAGATAGTACTGTTTGCTGATGACACTTCGCTTTTATTTAAAGTGAAACGACAAAATCCATCACTTGATAACGTAAACAGTGCCATCTCCAGTGTAGTTCACTGGTTTAATACAAATAATCTTAAGTTAAACGAAAAGAAGACAAAATGTGTTAAATTTGTAACTACAAATGTAAAAAGTAGTCATTCTCAAATAATCATTAAAGACGAGGAAATAGACTTTGTTGATAATGCGGTGTTCTTGGGAATTACTTTAGATAGTAAACTCCAGTGGGGCCGACACATAGAAGGTCTTTCGAATAGGCTAAGTTCCGCAGCGTTCGCAGTAAAAAAGATACGCGATCTTACGGATGAGAACACAGCAAAGCTTGTTTATTTCAGCTATTTTCATAGTATTATGTCATATGGTGTTATTTTGTGGGGTAATGCAGCTGACATTAAATCGATATTTGTAGTGCAAAAGCGGGCTATAAGAGCGATCTGTGGGTTGTCCCCACGTGAGTCGGTCCGAAGCAAATTTAAGGAATTACATATTTTGACTCTGGCAAGTCAATACATTTATGAGAATATTTTGTATGTGCGGAAAAATATAGATATCTTTAAAAAGAATAGTAGCTTCCATAATTATAGTACTCGTAATAAAGACAAAATTAGCGCACCAACCAGAAGGCTGCATAAAACGAGTAATTATTTCCAAGGCAATTGTATACGTTTTTTCAACAAAATCCCTAGTGAGATCCAAGCGTTGTCAATAAATAAATTTAAATCGTACATTAAAGTAAAACTGCTTGCTAAGGCTTATTATAATATAAATGAATATTTAAACGATCCTAGTGCTTGGATATGAGTTGCTCCAGTATATATTATAGGTAACACGACTGAATCTCTCGGCTGCATTTCCAGACTCTGGGGCGATCGTCAACATCCACGACTGTTTTAATGTAAAGTGGGAACAAACCGTGATCCATGTAGTATCCAATTATTTCAGTATTATTATTATTTTCTTATGTAGCCAAGTCCACATTTCAAGGATCGTCATGCTCGCTTAAATGTCATTGCTTGTGGCGGCGTCCATGCGTCGGGTTGTCTCTCTCCCTAAAATATGGCGAGGGGGCCGATGGCTGGCCATGCGTCATACTCGTGAACGGGTGCTACTTGTGGTGACTGGTCGTACTTGAATTCGTGTATGCGGCGATGTTAATTATTTCGACTATGTGTTTGCGTGTTGTTCCCACGAGAATGTAAGTGCGTGCTCCTATTTCACCATGCCTCCTGCTGATACGGGACAAGTCTTTGTTTTTATTTATGTTATTACATATTATTAATTACTTAAAATGTCATGTGGAACATGGTGTAATGGTTGCAGCTCCTTACAAACGTTGTAAAAAAAAAAAAAAAAACATGGCGATTAAAAAGAGTGGCGGAGAGTTTATTGCCAGTTCTTCTCTTCCGTTCTACGCCCTTGATTTGAGAACTGGCAGTAAATGTAAAATTAGAAGCATTAATATTTATTTCTTTAATGACGAATCACAAGTGTACATTGTGTTACCTACGTGAATAAATGATTTTTGAATTTTGAATTTTGAATTTTTATGTCCTGAAGCGGTATAATATTAAAATTTCAAAACTTAATCATTACATAACGTGTTGTATTGTACTGAACAATATTAAAATTAATTCTTGTGTCATCAAAACCCTTAAACGGGCTTAAAGAAACAGGCAACAGGCTCCCCTGATGTTAAGTGATGACGCCTATAGACCAGAGGGCTCGCAAGAGCGTTGTCAGCCTTTAAAGAATTGGTATGCTCTATCGACCCCACAATCCACCTCGATCAAGGCATTTTGATTCTATTGAATTACAAAATTTATTTTTATCTATAATCTATATCTAAAGACATAAACTTTTTCAGCTCCAGCCTCAGACTATGCTCATTCTGTGCCATCTACGTCAAAGGAAGTCGATGATCCCGGGGAAATTATTCGGCCTACAACATTGGATCTCCCACTACCAAAGAAGGATAGCAAGCGAGCACAAGTAAGTACTTTAATTACTATTAGCCAAAGACTTTAATTTATCAAAACTTCATATACTATTTTTGGATATAGGTTTCCCGGCCGTCGAAGCTCTTGAAGTCAGAACAAAGCTTATAAATCTATATATATATATAATAAAATGAATTGCTGTTCGTAAGTCTCACTAAAACTCGAGAACGGCTGAACGGATTTATCTTATCTTAGTCTTGAAATGTTCGTGGAGGTCTAGGGAAAGTTTAAAAGGCGAGAAAAATCTAATAATTTCCGGGAAAACCCTAAAAACAGCCCTTTTCTATTTCCCATACAAACGTTTTCTAGCGTCAATTTGAACTTTATTGCTATTCAATAAAGTTCATATTAAATTACAAACCGAAAATAAACAAAAGTGAATCGCGAACGCGATAAAAAATGTAATAAACTATTAGTAGTACTGATTTCCAATTAATTTGGTCGGCTTCGCGAAACTTAATTTTAGATAACTTCAGTTGTAATTGTATCAGATTATAGCCAGTATTTCAGGAAAACTCTGTTTTTATAAGTAAGCAACATGATGTGTCGAAAATAATAATAAAACTTCATTCTTTATTAAAAAAATGCTTTTTTATTCAATACGTTTTGTTTGTTTTGAAATTAATTTATACAAAAGTTTAGGTCTTTTATTTATCGATTGAGGCAGTACAAAGTCTGCCGGGTCAGCTAGTATATATATGTCTGGGCGGATGCCTTTCATCATTAGAATCAGCCATGTCTTAATAATTGTAATGTGGGTAGGAACAAAAGAATCACCAAAGTCACAATCAAAATTATTTAATCACACAATATCTCCCTTACAGAAATTCACTAAAATCTATTTAATCGTAATTAGGGAATCACTTAAACAATCACTTTTAATTAGTTTTGTAACAAAAAGACACAAGATTATTTGGAACAAAAGCGATTCGTCGCAAACGTGGTGCGCTCGCCGTTGACGTTCGAAAACTGAACGAAATTCAACTTGGCCGCGCTGACCATCGACACGGCGCTTCGCCAGACTTGACAATTGTCAAATCTCGTTCCAATATTTCCAGTATTTCTTAACAGATGGCGCTAGGAATGCGCCGTCACGGCCGGACTGACTTTCGACCGTCCTCGAGCGCATCAGATTGCAGTCCTGTAACAGTGACACAATCAATCAATCGGACGGGTGTCAGTAAATCTACCCGCTCGCCCAACCTGACAAGCTATGACTACTAGACGTAATGTTACTTTCATACAACTATGACTGTCTCAGAATAAAAAAAAAACGTGTGTCCTTTAGCGACCACTCATGGACCGGACGGCACCTTTTTCTAATCACTTAACAAACATTACACTCTTTATCGGCATGTCCTATCCTTAAGATCAATTTTTCACACAGTATCAATTTGGACCGGACGGATGTGTCCTTTTGACCAGCCACACGTGCATGGCCCGGACGACACTGTCCCTTCGACCAATGAACACTTAAGATTGGACCGGATGAATGTGTCCCTTCTACCCGCTATCAGCTGCGTGGCCCGGACGACATTATCCTTTCGACCAATGAACACTTAAGGTTGGACCGGATGAATGTGTCCCTTCGACCCGCTATCAGCTGCATGGCCCGGACGACATTATCCTTTCGACCACCTTCACACACACACCACGAAACTCGATGACTTTTCTCACTAATCGTGCCAACATAGTTAAATAGACTTCAATGCTTGAAGATTACACATACCTATAAGTTACGGACTGTCTTGCTCAAAGATTTCGCGATCTGAAATGTTACTTATGGTATCAGACTCTGCTGTAGGTGTGTCTGATCCTGCGGACAGTGTATCGGAGCCTGCAGTCAATATATCACCAACATTCGGTCTGTCAAGGTGACTTTTATCGAGTTCAACGTCTTTCGGCGCCGTCATGGCCTCTTCTTCAGTCATCAAACTAGTAGATATTTCAACTAACCCGTCATGACCCCGAGGTACTGGACGCAAGTTCTCGTGCGCGTATTTGAAAGTACGATGTGAACCGGTTATGCTTTTCAACTCGTAACGGTCATTATATAATACTGCGATTATTACATAAGGACGCCTAAACTTCCTATCTAACTTAGTTTGGTTGCGTTCGCAAGTTGATCGGCTATTATGCGCTTAGGTGCTCCAAAAGGCAAACGACATTTTTAACGGCTCGAACCGCACTAGCTGCGTCTTATGAAGAGGTGTGCTCTAATAATACGTATTTAGTGAACGCATCAATAATTACTGAACAATATTCCTTACGGTCACTTTTCCACTTGGTTTACCGGTGAAGTCTATATGAATCGTCTGCCACGGTACCGGAGCTTTTGGAATAGAATGTAGCTGCACAGGCTGAGCACCTGAGGGATCCTTCGACGCCTTGCAGACAATGCAAGAGTCAACAAATTTTCTAACGCACACCGACATCTGAGGGAACCAACACTGTTCGTACAGTCTGTCCAGTGTTCCGTCACCACCATGACGCTGCAACTCGTTATGAACGTGATTGATCAAAGTCCATATTAGGGAACGAGGGACGACTGGCAGCCATCATATAATCTTGTTTCTTACAACCTTCCTATAAACAAGGCCATTCCTAACGTCATATGTCTGACCAACCGTTTCAGGAAAATCGTTATTATTGTGCTTGTTAATCAAGTCTTGGACCTCTGCATCACGTTTCTGTTCTACAGAAAGCCAGCCCTGATGTAATTCTACAAAATTTACTGTCTGAATTGTAGGTTTTGAAGAGACTTGTGACTCGGAAACTAAGCTATTGGGGTCCGGCAGGAGATTCCTAGAAAGGTAATCCGCGTGTTCCATGCCACGACCTTCTCGATATATGATATCGAAATCATAGGCTTGTAAAAATTCCCACCAGCAATGAACATGTGGGGTTAGGTCAGTTTTAGATTTCGATGCTTTTAATGAGCTACAGTCCGTGATAACCGTGAAACGTCGGCCGTATGAATAATGCCGGAAGTGTTCTACCGCTCGTACGACTGCCAGCGTTTCCAGTTCGTACGAGTGGTAACGGGACTCTACTTCAGAGGTTCGTCGGCTAAAGTATTCTACAACATGGGGCAGGTCCTTCTTTTTCTGTATTAAGATCGCCACATATCCCTCTGAGCTAGCGTCGCAATGCAGTTCAACGGGTAAGTCCGGGTTAAAGATCATCAGAACTGGTTCGGAGATAAGTATCTGTATATTGGTATTACGGATACTTTCATGTTTTTCTTCCCATTTTATAGGACCTTTTCTTTAACCATTTGCTTTTCAATTGGTGCTAATCTTTATGGGCGTCGTTGAACAGTTTTATGGGGGGTCTACTAAATCAATTTCTAACTCTCCTGTGTTCACGCGTTTACGGGGAACACCATCCACGAAACTGCTAGCATATTTGTCCAATAGTCTAATAAGGGCATCTCTATCATCAGCTGTCGAATCCGTATCTATCCGAGTTAAGTCTGGCTGGGTAGCAATCGATTCACAAACATAAACTTGTTCCTCAAAATGAAAAATCAAATTATCATTATTAATTTTGACGCTAAAAAGTCCCTACCTATTATAACACGCAAGTATAACATTGAGAATAGATCTAACAAGCTGAACGCCAGCCATTTGGGACTAGGAGGTAACACACCTATATATGTATCGGAATATTTAACACCTAAAGCAAAGCGCCTTTATTTTCTTGCAAGGGAAATTGCGAAGTCAGAACAGTACAAGTACTGCTGGTCTGTTAATGGTAACGTATATCTTAGGAAGAAGAACGGCTTTCCTTACATTTTAATAAAAAAATGAAGATCACCTTAACTCGCTAAACAAAGCATGACTGGTGCTAATTGTAGTTTTATGTTTTTTAATGCTCTTGTTTATATTTAAATTCTACACTTTTTTTTAATTCTACACAAAGTTTAACACATTCTACAAACAAATATCCTATACCGAACCACTCCACAGATATGACAGTACAATAACCAAACCACAATTTATTGCTATGAATATGAATATGTCAACCCCACCAAAGTACCACTATGATAGTGAGAGACTTTATACCCCATACAAGTGCCTAATTTTCCTTTTTATACTATTCGACCAATATCACCCAATCTGTTACGCAATCCTTCACACATTTAGGTACAATTTTAATGTTTTCATGTCTTCTATTCTATTTATTCTAAAATTCGATAATTTAAGTTTAATTCGAGATATCGATGATACAAATTTCATTACCAACCAATATTTGAATTATTCGGAAGACTCTAAAGTGTTTTACGAATCCTCAAACCTCACCATTGTTACTCAAAACATCCGCAGCATTAATAAAAACTTTGATAGTTTTCTAGTGTTTCTTAGTAGGCTGCAATTTAATCCTGATTTAATTGTTTTGACTGAGTGTTGGATTGAAGACAATTTTACTGGTATTCACATAGATGGGTATTCATGTACATTTTCCCATTAATTTATTAACAAATGCGACGGAATCGTAATTTTTCATAAAAATAACACTAACCTTAATATAACAGAACCAGCCTTTACAGATGCAAACTGTTTAGTCATTTAAATAATAATGCTGTTATCATATCAATTTACAGATCACCTTCTTTTTACAATGTTGATAATTTTCACTACTCTCTCGAAAACCTCATTTTATCGTACAATGGACACCCTATTTATATAGTTGGGGATCTTAATATCGACATTAAGGAGACGACCGACGATCACAGAGCTCATAAGTTTCTTGAGTTAGTGAACTTCTACGGTCTTATACAAGTTCATTTCTTACCAACCCGTGGTGGTAATTGTCTAGATCATGCACTCATAAGATCACATTTGCAATCACGCGTGGCTGTTTGCCCATCCCAAGTGAGTGATCATATGTCTGCTATTATAGGTATCGATCAGACCAAACACCTCAATAATAATTTAGTTAAAGCCTCCCCTATGATGAGTAAAGTTATAGACTACGACCAACTATATAAAGATTTAGCAGGGGTCGATTGGAGCTTTCTATATTACATCAAAAATATAAATGAAACAGTTGATGCTTTCACAAGCACAATTTCAAGTGCAATTAATACCAACACAAAAATCATA